TTACAAGCTTTCAAGAGGGAACCTAGATTCAGAGGGCATGAAGGAAGGTCCAATCTGTCTGGGCGGGGCTGATGAAATGAAATGCAGATGAGTCTCTTGTGATACAATACTGAATAATTGTTATTAGGACTGACTGTGAGGGTTGGAAATGTAAAGGTAGATGTTTTGTAGCAAGGAGGGGAGTGATTAACTTTTCAGTCTAGGAGCAGAGGTTCGTGGGATCATCAAGTGGGAAGAGCAAGAGCGGGACCCTTCCCAGAGAAAAAGTGATGCCTGAGATGGAGGCAGAGACGATGATGTGGAGAGATGGAGCAGTTGGGGACTTTAGACCCAGAGAGGGAGAGGGGCTGTGTGCTGACGACTGGGGTGCAGGCTTGTAGTGTATACCCTTTGGTTGGTTGATGATGCATGGAAGGGATTGTAACCATGGCAATGAAACCATATACGATAGGATGAATGTAAAAATAATGTTCTCCCATGTAAACTAATATATAATTCACAATAAAACATTAAAAAAAACAACAACAACCCACTCTAGTCTGTCAGGTGAGAACCTAAGAAGGGAGCAGTCAGCCCTGTACGGAGTCCTGAGACTGGGACTCTTTACGAGAGCAGACTGCCTCATCTTTTACTCCTGAAGCGGCTGATGGGTTCAAACCACTGACCTTTGGGTTAGCACTCAAGCGCCTAACCACTGCACCAACAGGGCTCTTAAGCCTGTCAGCTAGGAAAGGGGAGAAACAAGCTAATGAAGCAAACCTTGTAGTTCAGTTTGGTGTTTGGTTTTCTCACTCTAAGGGAAGATTCAAACGTGGAGGGGAGGATCTGATGGGAAATTTCCAGGCTTCTGAGCTAGCCAAGGACACAGAGAATGACACGGTCACAGATGTCATCTCGGCAGCAGCCAGCCCGCAGACAACGGCCCGTGCTCCCACAGGTAGGCCCCATCAAGAGCAATTTGCAAAGGAAGGGGGTTGTCGCTCTAGACGAGCGAGTTCTCCCTGTAGCTTCTTCCGTCAGCGAACGTGCAGAGGGAATTGCTACAGAAACAGCTACAAGTGCACACACAGCCATCCTTCCTGACAACATGATATCGGGCTGCTATCTCGTGAGCCTCTCCTCCCCACTTCTAATCTGCCAGCACACTTGGGGACCTCAACATGGACCAGAACTGACGCATACAGATGGTCTCCGTGTGAGGAAATTACCGTGTGAGAGACCTGCTACTCTGTTTGCAAAAGAACGCCTGAGTCAGGATCCAATCACAAGCTTTCCATCTCTTCTGTATGTTAAAACGTCACTACTGGTCATTACAAAAGTCTTCTAGCATTGCTTATGAGTCCTGGTGTGGCACTGTGGGGTAATGCGCCAGACTGCAAAGTTGTCGGAACTGCAAGGTCGGCGGTTCAAGCTCACCAGCCGCTCCTCAGAAACCCTATACAGGGTCGCTACGGGTGGGAACCAACTCAGCGGCACTTAAAAACAACAATGATGGTAAAGAGAGAAAAACTGGATTTTCCTTTGTGGATTTTCTCACAATCTGAGTTGTGGGATTTCCAAAGACAGTGCTAAGTGATCTACTGGAATTTACAGACAATTAACGGCAAAATGGTCAAAATTGTAAAAATTATCTTTCTTCTATAAAAATCAATCACTTAATATATACATAAATAGCTTTACACCCTGACCTTTTCTTAAAAAGGAAAACAATTTTGAAATGCCAAACTTGCTGATCACAGCCAGGAACAGAGAAAACCACACAAGATGGGCCCATAGGAATACCACGGGGGACAAGGGCACACATTACGATCACAGGCTCCTAGCTGCCTCCCTTGGCCCAGAGTCTTCAGGACAGAGAAAATGTACACAGATGTAGATTTCTACAACCTTGTACACACTGCTCTGCACAACAGAGCACTCCCTAAATGGTGGGGATAAAATGTGAGCTTGTTAAGCATTCTGCTAAGTGAGCCGTTTGCTTTCCTAAAATGAATTCATGCTATAACGTTCACTGCCAGGGACCCGAAGGGTAATTGAACGCACTGTCACCTTGGGCCCCGACTTGGCTCTCATGCTGCCATTCTCCACGATCCTGAAGTCCAGCCGACCGTCGTCTTTACTGCCCAGGGCTTTGAGGCCCTGCAGGAGGATGTCTCGGAAGCGCTGGTAAACGGGCCGCTCAGTATAAGCCAGCAGCTTCACCGTCTCCATGAACCTGGCGATCTCGTCTGCAACAACACCACAGAGACTCTGTTAGTTCTTAATCTCAAATCCACTCTCTGCATTTCTTCCTTCTAGAAAAATACTTCCTGTTATAGTAAAATTAGAACGCACATGTAGAACAATACACGTTTTTAAACTCATTTCTTCAATGAACAGTATATGCTTTTGAATGCATGAAATGTCAGAAGTCAAAAGCATACTGTTGGGACCAAGAAAGATAAAACATACTTAAATATTCAAATATGCTTGTGCGTAAACAGAGGGCCTGGAATGTCACTCATGGGAACGGTGTCCTTTTGGACAGGGACCCCAGCCCTCAGTCCATGCTTCTGCTCTGGAAGCACAACTGGACAGAGGGCAACAGGCCTCTGAGAGTCAAGAAGGAAACAGGTGAATGTCACTGAAGGAAGGAGAGAAACTCCAGGCCTGCCCCTCCCTCCACAGAGGACAAGGGGTGCCTCTGAACCCCACAGTACCATCAGCTGGAGCAGAACCACCCCCACAAGAAGAAACACTCGCAGTCAGCATTAAGGCTGCCCAACATCAGAAACCCATCTTCAGGCTAATGACTCCATCTATATGTGTTTCCAGGCCAGCCCCACACCATCCAGACTCCTACATACACCTGTCCCTGTTGTTGTCAGGTACTCCCACCACAGCCACCCAGTGTACCCGAAAACCAGACCCCGCCCAACCCTTCGCCACCCTCACAATTGTTGTGTTTGAGCCTGTTATAGCAGCCACTGTGTCAATCCGTCTCCTTGTGGGGGGCTTCCTCTTTTTCACTGGCCCTCGACTTTGCCAAGAGTGATGTCCTTCTCCAGGGACTGGTCCCTCCTGATGACGTGTCAGAAACATGCTAGGGAGCATCTTCGGGGCAGGTTGAGCTGTCCTCCAGCGAGTGCATGGCACAGCCGGTGTTCATCAGCAGCACTGTGACCCCATGCAGCCATCCTCCTCCAGGCTCCTCGCTCACTGTCCACCACTCACATCGGCATGGACCACGGCTCTGCTCATTAACACGGCTCATCTGCAGCAGGGTGCCATGTTTGATGTCCTGGCCACTGCTTCCCTGTCATTGATTGTGGACACAAGTAAAGCGAAATTCTCAACTACACCAATCTTTTCTCGGCTTATTATAATTACCGGTCCAGTTGTGTGGACTTGTGTTTTCTTTCTGTTGAGGTGTACTCCATACTGAAGGCTGCGGTCTTTGATCTTCACCAGGAAGTATTTTCAGTCTTCTTGGCCTCCAGCAAGCAAGGCTGCAACCCCTGCACATTGCATGTTGCTAATGCGTCTTTCTCCAATCCTGACGGCACTTCCTTCTTCGTAGAGTCCAGCTTCTCAGACGACTTTCTCAGCACACAGACTGAGTAAGTATGGTGAAAGCATACAACACACGGTCACGCAGCTTTCGTGATTTGAAACTACAAAGCATCTCCTGGTTCCATGCAACCGACTGCCTCTAGGTCTGAGTACAGCTTCCCTCATGAGCACAATTAAATGTTCTTTAATTCCCTTTTTTCACAATGTTGCCCTGGTGTGGTGCTGTAGGTTAATGCGCTGGACTGCAAAGTCAGTTTGAACCACAGATTGGTCGTTCAAGCTCACCAGCTGCTCCTCGGAAACCCTATACAGGGTCGCTGTGGGTTGGAACTGACTGGACAACACTTAACAACAACAACATCCATAATTCATTGTGATTCAGATATAGATAAATTCACCGCTTCATATATGGGCTCTTCGAAGTCTGACTGCCACCTCAAATCCAAACCACTCCAAATCCAAACTTCTTGTTACCATTAAGATTCCTCTTGCCCCAAGTTCTTCCCGACTCACTAACTAATGAGAATCCCAACCTTCCAGCTACTCAAGCCAAAACTCAGAGTCAGTCATCCCAGAAACTCTTTTGGCTTATTCAATATGTGACTAAGTCTTGTCAGTGTTACATACACACATGCATATACACCCTCATCCGCTTACATATCTGTTAACACAAGATGAACTCTCGTCACTTGCTACACACTCACTCACTTACTTATATATCTGTTAAGCACAAACTGTGTGCCAGACACTAGTTCAAACGCTTGACAAGTATCAGGGGAGAAGACTTTCCTCCCCTCAATAGTCCTCATCCAGTAAGAGAACTCCAACCACCTAAGGCACACATCACAAGTGACAGTAACTGACTGAAGCCGCCCTTTTGTGGAAGGTGAGGAGACCACCGCTGAGACACAGAACAGAAGAGCCATATACAGGAAGGCAAGAGAAAGAAAGAGAAGGTACAAAGGTGGGAATGGAAAAAGCAAACTGTCTTTAGCCACAAACAACATAATTGTGTAAGTGGCAAATCCTAAGGCATTTACAAAAAAGACCACTAGAACTAGTAAGTCAATTTAGCATGGACACAAAGGAAATAATATGTAACAATCTAGTCTATTTCTAGACACTAGTAATAGACTACTAGAAATCGAAAGTTTTAAGTGATTTACAATAGCATAAAAAAAAAATCAAATACCTAGTAACACATGCACTGGAAGACACGCAAAGACTGCTGTAGCGAAAACTATCAAACACTGCTGTGAAAGTTCAATAAGATCAAATACACAGAGTATATATGATGCTGACTCAAGATCATAAAGACATCTGTCCTTCCCCCATTAAGTCTATAGAATCAGTACCATCCCAAACTTAAGTTTCCAGTAAACTAGGGGGAGAGACGGGGGAGATGACAAGGTGATTCTACAGTTTACCAAGAAATGCAAAGAGCCGAGAACTGCACAGTGCTACAGGATTCAAACTAGCAGACACCAAGACTGCGGGTGCAAAGCTGCGATACGTAGGAGAAGGTGGTCCAAGCACAGACAGAAAGGAAATGGAAGCGCGCAAAGACTCCATAAACAAATCCACAGCCACACGCACCACCCAGAAAGGCTGCCCGTCGACGACAGGTGGACTGGAGTGGGACCCCTATCAGCCGCGGTTGCAGTGGATTTTACATCATCTGCATGTGTACTTCCCACCACCTGGAGAAGCACGAAGCACGACAGTAAAACAGACAGACACTGACACATGAACACCCTGGAGCCTACACAATGCTGGGCACGCAACTATGGGTGGAATGAAGCTCAGAGAGGGAGTGTGGAGGCAAAGAGAAAGGCACTAAAGATCTCCTGAGGGAGGTACTGTGGTCAGCTTTGCTCACTGAGTGATTCCATTTCAGAAAAGCCCAAAGCAGCTCTTCAGTGTTAGAAGTCAGCCTAGGAGGGTGCCAACACTGCTCCTGGTCTTGATGTGGGTGATGGGTTAGTTGCGAGGTGAGCAAAGGCTTTTGAAGATCTAGTAATACATGCAAACTGCTTACTTGTACTATGGCCACCCTTCCTCCTGACCTGGCTCCCTGAGCAGTCTGTCCTCAGAGCAGAGGCTGGAGACATCCCTCCATAGGAAGACAGTCCACGTCACATGTCCACAACTGCCCAAGAAAAAGCTGAAGTCCTCAGGGTGGTGTAGGACACTTCTGTCCCTTCAGCCAGGATACCCCGGGCCTCCATTAGCTTGCTCCTTCTTATTCCTCACACACATGCTCAAACGTCACCACCTCGGGAGGCCACCCCATCAGGCCTTACTGTCCCCCAATACCACAGCCCCGTCCCAGCCACCCTATTTAGCACCCCGTACCGCCCACTCCCTGCCCCCCGCAATCCTGGCCACCCTATGTAGAGTCTCAAGCCCCTCCCTCCTGCCACACCTGTTCTCGATACCACGCAGCTACACATCTACCCGTTCACTCCCAACCTCTGATACTAGACGTGAGCCCAAGACAGAGAGGCACAGGCCTGCCCGGTCCTGGCTGTTGAATGCCCCTGAAATCGCGTGTTCCGTGATGAGACAGTCCTGGCATAATGACCACACCGAAGACGTCCCGCCCTCACAGGGAGAGAGTATCTGTGCACAGAAAACAAAATCTCTCTATAGGCCTAGGACATCTTCTCCTACCTGGCTTGTTCTTCTCAGGGAAACATGTGTCCATCAAGCTTGCAATATCTTCTCTGTATCTGTTAACGGGGAAAGGAAGGGTCACTGTTGGAAGACCATGGCTCCACTTACTCGTCAGCAGTGACGGTCAGTGGCCCGTGGCCATGAGAACTACAGCTCTGGTCAATAAGCATCTACTAAACATGAACCTTCTCCTGGTCTGGCCATAAGTACTTTCTGAAGTGCTCTCCTTTACCTAATCTTGGAGTCTCTAACATAGTTAGGATCTTTCAAGCTGTCCTCCCACGGAAGATGGCCGCTGAGCCACTTGATCATGCAGTAACCGAGGATCTCCAGGTCGCCACGCCGTGACGGGGCTGCAAACACAGAGACAGCACGTCAAGCAGGGGCCCAGAGAGCAGAGCGGGAGAGCCCATCCTTTCTCATCACTCAGAGTGCACTGCACACAACTAGCCGGCCTCCAGGACAGAGCCGACCTCCAACTAATCGGTCACTTTACAGCCCAAAGTGGTCCATGTCAGAGCTTCGAACAGTCTCAGAAACGATCACAAACAGGAATACATTTATAAGGACCCTGGAAAACGTCAAGGACTGAACAGCTGCTAAAGCTATCTAAAGGCGGCCCAGCAAACAGGGGCTCCTACTGCCCACAGCACTGGGCATAGAAGAGAAAGAGGCCTCGAGCATGGGAGAACTCAAAGGTGGCAAAATACAAGTCTGCTGATTACAAACAACTTACAGGCTGGAGAGAGAAGAACGCACTCATATCAAACGGAACGAAACCCAAACCAACACCGTCCCAAGAGCTGACAAACCCTCACTACCACAGCCTTCACTGGCCTCAGGGAAAGGAGGACTCGGAAGGCCGATGCAGGACAGCAGAGTTCCAGACCCCCAGCCCCTCCACCACCCCCTCTTCAAAACCAACCAGTCATCAATGCAGAAGCTGGATGGGGAACCGTTAGCAGAGCACTCCTTGTCTGAGTGCCGTTGACGTACCCACACCGTTGTGTGCATCGATGCTGGTGAATTCAAGAGTGCCGTCATGGCGTCTTTTGGGGTCTTCCTTGTATTCTTTATGAACTCCATCTGGGCAGTACCGGTAAGCTAGGCCATAATCCACCAAGTACACCTGCAAAGACCCACACACCACAGAGAGATGAAAACACAATCGAGGGCCTTCCGCAGCTGACAGCACACAGACCCTGTGGACAGACGACCTGACGTCTCTGGCTGCACCACTGCACGCAAAACAAGTGTGAGCCAAAGGGAAGCCACTGCAATGCTTGACTCTGAAAGGCTTTCTTTCTTTTTCCCTTCTCACCTTCTCAAGTCTCACGATTCATCACACTGACCCTTTTCCTTCCAGTCTAAAAACTGAGTGCAGAGTAAACTAGCAAGACTTGTCGCTCGGTAGCAACAGGCACTTCTCACACAGAAAGCACCCTGGGTGGATGCCTGCTAACCTAGCTGGCACGTCTGATGTAGTTAACTTCTACTGCTCAGCTCCTCACTTGTCAAAAGATCAAACACCAACTGAATTCATTCAAGTATTTCACTGACTATCATAGTCACCTCAAGTACTAGGCAACGCTCTTACCAGCACTGATATACTATAAAGTCTTCATTAAAACTGAATCATAGTATGATCTGCACACACGCATCTGTGAGCACATACGCATGGGTCTGATGAGCACACAAAGTGGATCCAGTTGTGCCCTTTCACTGCAGAGCCACAAAACATCTCTAATTCAGAGGAGTCACCTCACAAATGCATGCTTTTCGTCACAAGAGGAAGCGGAAGTGAAGTCTCAGGATGGATCACACACCAACATCTAACACTGAAAAGATAACAGTTCAGAGTGTACGCCTCAAGGACAATTGTTACTATTGTTGTTGTTGTTAAGTGCTGGCGAATTGGTCCCAACCTACAGCGACCCTAGGTTTCCAAGGAGCAGCTGGTGAACTTGAACCATCGACCTAGTGGCTCAAATGACTTTGCAGTCCATCGCATTAACTCACAGCATCCCGCCAGGGCTTCTCAAGAACAACAGAGCTGCAAAATGTTTCCATGGAAATAAAAGGCAGTCGAGCTAATCACAAATGGAAGGGAGTTGTGTTATTTGTATACTCGCCTTATACGTCTCTGTTGTTGTAGGTGCAACCCCACGTACAATAGAGCGAAACCCTGCCCAGTCCTGTGCCAACTTCACAACTGTTGCTGCTGCCACTGTGCCAATCCATCTCACTGGGAGAAAATCTTCCTCTTTTTCACTGACCCTACACTTTACCAAACATGATGTCCTTCCCCAGTGAGTGGCCTCTCCCGACAACATGTCCAAAGTAGACATCTCTAGTGGACTTCAATTCATGGACTCTGTCATCCAATCCTTAGCTAGCTTTGTGGTTGTTTGCATGCACCAGCACCTGGGTTTTACACCTTGTTGTTGCCATCAAGTCAATTCTGATTCACGGTGACCCTATGTAGGGTTTCTGTGAAGCGGCCAGTGAGTTTGAACCACTGTCCTTGCGGTTAGCAGTCCAGTGCTTATCCTACAGTCCCACACAAGGGACCCTAGAAAACTCTAAGACAAAATGGCTAGAAAACATTGGGCTGAATTCTGTGTTGCCTTTACGGGTTCTCCATTAAAATGTCATAGTATAGGCACCCTGGTGTGGAGCTGTAGGGTAAGCACTGGACTGCTAGCCACAAGGTCAGTGGTTCAAACTCACCAGCTGCTCCTTGGAAACCCTATACAGGGTCGTTATGAGTCAGAAATGACTCAACAGCACTTAACAACAACAAGGATAGCCACATTCTTCTGTGAACTAGTCATACCGATCCCTTACTACCTCTGCAATTCACTGAAGTTAGGGCTGGGGAGGAAAATATATAAAATGATAAAACAAGTAAGGGGAGTTCAAGGAAAATCTAAGCAAGTGTAGTTAAAAATGGGTTTGAAAAAGTATAGAGCTCAGCTAATAATAAGACAGCCATCAAAGCACTGGACACATTTAAAAGGCTTCCTCTTCCTTGCTAGTGCTAAATCAAGTACGAATTGAGAACATACAGAACAGCTTAAGCAAGTGGCCAACTAAACCTTACTTTTGCCAAAATCATGAAACCAGAGTCAAGAAAACTGTATAGCTTTCTCTACTCCAACCACATTGGTCCTAACGAAGATGCCGTCACATTAGCTTTGCTCCTGTCCTAAGAATGTCACAAGCAAAACAAGCACATTTGAATTCCAAACACTCGGGGTACACGAATTTAGACAGCTAAGATATTTCTGTAAACCAAGTGATGTGAATAATCAACATGTTAAAGACCAAATTTTCCAAGGAACAGAGCACTTACATTTGATGGATTTCTTGAACAAAGGAAATAAAGAAAGTGACAAAGCAGACAGGCAAACATAATTCATTGGTGCACTATGTAATTTTAAGCTTCCACCCCCAAACAGCTATTTGAAATTCATTTTGTATCACAAGTACTTCTCCTGAATAGTATTTAGGGCAAAATAGCCAAGTTGATAAAGTGCCAACAAGTTGCATCAAAAATGGAGCATGTTAACAAGGGAACAGCATCTAGGGGAAACGCTGCTATTACCACGTCCACTGCAAAGCGCTAGACTGCTGGGGGGCAGGGGGCTCAGGAGCTGAGCACAGCCACATGCGTTGTCAGGAGCGGGCAGTGCAGCGCTCAGGCTACCTGGTCAGGGTTCCGGCAGCTCAGGAGGAGGTTGGCGGCCTTGATGTCTCCATGCACGTACTCATGCTCGTGGATATACTCCAGGACATCCAGCTAGGGGAACAGCACACTCAGTCAGTCGGTGCCCGCAGCAGCCAGCAGAGGGCCAAGCTTCAACGCAAAGCAGCCTGCACGCCACTTCCAGACCCACGAGGTTAAAAAGCAACGAGAGCGCACGTACAATTCTTAAGCTCAGCTGCAGGACGGTTTTCCGAGAAAACCTCTTGGCATTTGCTTCATACATTTTCTGAAGGTCACTTCCAAAGCGATCCATTATCATAAACCTGTAACTGAGGATGAACAAGAAAAGTCAGTGAACGAAATAGAAAGCCTTGTCCCAATGAACACATGCTTTTCAAAGCCATGTTTCAAGGCACCATTTAGTTAATTATTCTTTAAAACAAAAACAAACAAAAAGCAAACATTTAAAACCCTTTCTGCCGACAAGAAATTTCAAAGTTAAGGGCATCCTCAGCTGCCTTTCGCGGGACTCCTGCGAGCAACAGGAGCCAAGCTCCAACTCAGGACACAGTCAACAAAGTGATTCTGAGGGCAAGAGCACAGCTGCCGGGGGAGGGACAGGGTCTCATCTAAATGTAGAGGTCAGAAAGAAATTAAGATCTGTGAAGGCAAAGTGCTTTTGTCCAAAGTCACACAAAAAGTCAGCAGCAAAATGTTATTATGTGGAAAACACACGCACACCAATTCCAAGACAAACTTTATGCTAGGTGCTCTGGAGAAGATGAGGACATGGGGGCACCATCTCTGCCTGCAGGTCCTGCACAGTACAATGGGGAGCCGACAGCCTACTGAATGTGTCAGGTGACATGCTGAATGTGCTACATCGCACAGCAAGGAAATGCTGAGGTCATCCCAGAAGGTTGGCTTTGTTGTTAAGTGCCATCGAATTCGTTCTGACTCATAGTAACCCTGTATAGGGTTTCCTAGAGGCAGCTGATGGGCTTGAACCACTGACCTTGCAGTTAGCTTTTTGCTGTTATTAGGTGCCGTTGAATCTGTTCTGACTCATAGCGACCTTATGTACAACAGAATGAAACACTGCCTGATCCTGTGCCAATCTCACATCATTGCTACGCCTGAGCCCACTGCTGCTGCCACTGTGCCAATACATCTCATGGGGGGTCTTCCTCTTTTTTGTTGACCCTCCACTTTACCAAGCATGCTGTCTCTCTCCGGGGACTGATACCTCCTGATAATATGTCCAAAGAGTGAGAGACAAAATCTGGCTATCCTGGTTTCTAAGGAGCATCTGGCCGTAATTCTTCCAACACAGATTTGTTGTTCTTCTAACAGTCCACAAGGTACTTGGAATATTCTTCTTCAACATCATAACTCAAATGCATCAAATTCTTCTATGATTTGCAGTTAGCAGTTCAGTGCTTTATCCCACAGCGCCACACCAAGAAGCCAGATTCCAGAAGTAGGTCTTTTGATATCCAAACCAATGTTTTTCTGCTAGAGAATACATCTAAAACCTTGTCTAGAAAACTAGCAGCGAACTTGTGAATCACCTGCACGTGGGGTGGTAATGCAGTCTTCTGTTTCTAGACTCCCCAGGACCCTGGCCTTGACAATAATAATGGAGTGAGATTTTGAACTTCCCGATTCTAGCTGAATAATAGGTGTCCAGAGGGAGAGCAATGAAATGTACAAGTGTGTTTTAAAATAACTCATGCGTGTGTGATTATTATAAAATAATACGAGTAACAGAAATACAACCTCTGCTGACAGTTTCAAGGGGGCTGAAATAAGACTACCTAGCTAACCATGGAATCTGCTAATAAATCATACTAAGCAGGTCTTTGCTGTTATCTACCGGGCATGCCTACTACCCTAAACAATCCCTTAAATCGTCTTCTGATTCCTAGATTACAAGCTTCAACTGAATCAGCCCCACACACTACACAGAAATGTTTCTGACGTTCCTCTGGAAAGATAGCTCTATCACTGAAGACAAAGCAGTACATTCCGTCTAAGTACCATCATTCCTATTCCTTTAAAGGAGGATGTACACTTTTCTAGGAACTTGGGGAGAAAAAGGTTGGAAACAGTGGGAAAATGTAAGCCACCAGAGCCAATCTAATAATGCTAACAACTAACATTTTTATGACTCTAACACTGTGCCAAGCACCTGTCGAGTGGGTTCCGACCCACAGCGATCCTGTAAAGGTTTTCCAAGGTGCAGCTGATGGGTTTGAACCACCGGCCTTGTGGTTCAAACCAACTTTGCACTCTAATGCTTATCCTACAGTGCCATATCCCAGCACCAGATGGGTATAAATTCAAGGATTTCTGGCACAGGAGGAAGGCTGGAAGAATCAACTCACTGTCTGTTTCTTCCATCGTGTCTGATAGCTTCAACCTAACAAGTCCATCAGGAAGCTCATGGCCCACAGTGAAACAGTAACTCAGCTCTGGGGGTCTCCAAAACCCCTGCTCTCGCCGAGGGGCTCCCTCCATCCCACACACAGTCCAGCTATAATCCCCACTGCGTCTCTCGAGGTCCTGAGCACCTCTCATGAGTCACACGCCCAAGTCCTCTGGTCCGGTGGGCTCCAACAGGCAGGCAATCAGCCTGTGTCAGGTACAAGATGCTGTGACAGTGTGGTGCAACACTGTCCCCAAATTCCTAAGCCAAAATTACAAGAAATACTGCCACCAATAACGGAGTCCTGGTGTGGTACCGAAGGATAAGCACTAGACTGCTAACCAAAAGGTTGGTGGTTCAAACCCATCAGCTGCTCCTTGGAAACCCTATACTCACAGGGTTTTTACGAATCGGAACCGACTCGATGGCACTTAGTCAACACCACCACCGACTCACTCCCTTACAGAGATGACAATCCTTCTTAGAGTTCACAAATGTTCATGTCACCTTCACAGTTACGCAGTCAAGTACGCCCTAGCATTCTTATTTGACAGGTTAAGACACTTAAAGTAACAGACCCAAAGTCACCCCTGACGCAATGACGTAAAATCCAGTTCTAAATTTGCTCAGTGATGCTTCCGTTTTACTGCAATGTACTTTTTTTAAAAAGGACTTTATTACTGAAATCCCTAAAGTGGTGGTGTGGCAGGTAGCAAAAGAACTTGGTGATTCCCAATCTAAACGCTCAATTGCCTGCTAGCATAAATTGTCAGATGGGTTCTCTGGAGAAGCAAAATCAGTAAAGTGTATACAAATAAATAGATTTATTCCAAGGAAATGGCTCCCGTGGTTGTGGAGGCTGGCAAGGTGTAAGGACGGTCGCAGGTGCAGAGCCATCAAGTCAGATGGTGGCGGCCGCCTCACAGCACAAGGACAATCAGTCAGACACAGGACTGAGAGCGAGCTTCGTTAGAAGGTCAGTAGGCACTGGATGCAGGCCTCCCCTCCAGGGACACTCCTCTGCATCCAATCACAACACGGAGCACAACCACAGAATACCAAGAACCATGGCCTGGCCACGTCGGCACCAACACTGACCACCACAAACACTGACCACCACAGTACAGCTGTCAACCTGACATCCATGCACGTCCCCTGAAATCATTCAAATCTTCTAAGACAATTGTGGATTCATACATGTATCTAACACAAGACAACATGAGCACAACCAAACACCTAAACACACGTGCTCAATTGAAGTGAAATATACATCGATATATCTGATGCATATAAACAGGGACGAAACATCCAGAACAATTACAGCCCTCCTTTCTGTCACTGGTCACGTGGTCGTAGCTGACCAATGACAGAATCACCTTCTACTAACCATCCCCTTATTCCCTTTGTCCTCAGCAAGCACCTCAACTGGTGTGGTTCCCTGCCTGGTGGGGTGACCAAACTCTTGATTCCTGAAGCATCCGGGCCATTATTAGTCATTGGAACTGGGTTGCTAGAGTCCTAGTGTGGCGCTGGGGGTTAATGCCCTGGACTGCAAAGTCGGTTTGAGCCGCAAAGCTGGCAGTTCAAGCTCATCGGTCACTGCTTGGAAACCCTACACAGGGTTGCTACAAGTCTGAACCAACTCAAGGGCACTTAGCAACAGTGTATCACTGACTTCAATCCCAGGACACGGTAGTACGAGGGACGTCCTGAGAAATTTCCTCAGAGGAGATACAGTGAGCACTTTCAAGAGCCTTCTGTGGGAGACTGGATTATTGATGGAAAACTGCAGAGAGCCAACACATTCAAAGTCGTGTGGGCAGCCACCCCTGAGCTGGGCACTGCTATTTCCCACCCTATGGGCTACAGATTTGGTTGTTAGAAATTACACCTGCTGCCCTAAGAGGGACATTCAATTTCTAACAGGGCTGTGATCCCTACGTTTTCCTGTTCCAAGTATCGTTTCAGTTCACACTGATTTTAGATTCTGGAGTCTGTTCCCCTGTCACTGTCCTATTAGCCATGATTAGTCACGGCTGCCCCACCCGGTTCAAAGCCCTGTATCATACGATGCCATCGATGGGTTTCCTCTGCCCAAGTCCTCTCTATCCTGACTTCCACTTACCAGGGAAGCCACTTTCTCCGTCACACCAGCCTGTCCTTGGTCCGACTACCTGCTGTGGGAGCTGCTTCCTAGTCAACACCAACTCACAGCGGCCTTACAACCGAAGAAGACGCCCGGTCCTGTGCCGTGTCCATGATCGGGTGCGTTTGATCCACCGCTGTGGCTACTGTGACACAGCACAGCGGTCCATTTCCACGGGTCCTCTACGGGACCAAGCACGATGCCCTTTCCTAGCAGACTGGTCTTTCCTAATGACATGTCTCCAATCCTCCCTTCTAAGACTGATTTTTCTTTGATAATACCACAGTTTCTATGCCTCAGTTCCGGTCTTCTTTTCATGATCCAACTTTCACAAGTATCTGAGGTGAGTGGCAAGACCAAGACTTGGGTGAAGCACACCATAATTGTCAAAAGTGACATCTTTGTTTTCAAACACGTTAAAAGTGGCGTTTGCAGCAGATGTGCCCAATGCAACGCATCGCTTGATTTCTCAACGGCTGCTTCCACGGATACTAACTGTTGACCCAAGCAGAATGAAATCCATGACAACTTTAACTCTTCTCATTGATCATGATGCTGGTTTATCACAGTCCGGTCATGAGGATTTTCTATTTCTTCCTGCTCAGACTTCACGTTCTAAGGACCTAGATCCACTGAACCCAAACGGCCTTTCCCCTCAGGTCTTTGTAATCTGGCTCAGGTTACTTCTCCGAGTTTATTTCCTTCCCTCCTTGTATAGGTGCCTCCCTCCTTTGCTAAAGGAAGATGGCTCTTCTCCAGCCACACAGCAGGACCGAGTGAGCCTACCACTGTGTTCATGCTGTTCTCCCTTCTCTTCCATGATCCCCTAACACTCATACAGATTCTAAGGAGCTTCTATCAGAGCATCCTTAGTGAGTGGGAAAGGGGCCTTAGTGATGCAGTGGGTTAAGTGCTGGACTGCTAAGTCAAAGGTCCAGAAAAATGCGGCAGTCAGCTTCCCTAAGACTGACATCCTCAGAAGGCCTACAGAACTGCTCTACTCTGTCCGGTAGAGGGCGAGCAGCACAGTGGGTCTGGGGTTTTGTGGTTTAGCCAGTAGACAGATGTTACCCCATTTTTCAGATGAGGATGTTCTTGTTGTTGTTGTTGTTGTTAGGTGCCATGGAGTCGGTTCCAACTCATAGCGATCCTGGACAGGGTTTCCGAGGCTGTTTATCTTTACAGGAGCAGAAAGCCTCATCTTTCTCCCACGGAGCAGCTGGTAGTTTCAAACTGCTGACCCTGAGGGTAGCAGCCCGATCCGTAACCACTATGCTACCAGAAAAGAGGTTAAAACACCTTCAAAATCACACACAAAGTCAGGGTCAAAATACAAATTTGAAACCAGGCAGTCTAACTTTAGAATCCTTGCTTTTAACTTTGTTTTACCCTGTTTCACCAGAGTCTCATAAAAACTATGATACACGTCCCAACTAAACCTACCTAAAAGAATACTGCGCATATCAGGGACGGGGGGCTGGTCATGGGCACATCATCCGACCTCCCTCTCTCCTAACAGTGACCCAGCATCCTCGAGGGCACATACTCCACGAATATGTGGCATGCCCTGAGCAGTGACAACATTGAGACCGGACCATGATAAATTCCCACCCACTAAACCAGGCGACTTCTTGTCAGCAATGAAACCCAGAGCCAGGGGTGCCATGTCTTCTGCTGGGCACCAGGTTGAACATGGAGCCTAGAGAGGGCACTGCCACGCCCAAACCAGACACTGCACTGCCATGGAGTCCATCCCACCTCAAGGTGACCTGCAGGATAGAGTAAAGCTACCCCTGGGGCTCCCGGGGCTCCCCATCTGCTTTACAGAAGCAGACCATCTCACCCTTCTCCAACAGAGCAGCTCGGGGGGCAAGGGGGGAACCCAATCATCCACCAGTTAATTCCTATCACCACCAGGGCCACACAGTGGAGAACTAGAGGACAAAGACAAGATAAGCGCCATAGGCAAGGTAAAGGAAGTGGGTTTTGACAGACAGACGAAGCAGAGTTTTCCTCTACTTGTTACTGAAAGCACCCCGACCAGTATGTCGCCTGCTCCCAACTACTGTTGTTGTGTTTGCCGCCCAACACATGGGCTCCCCATTAGTTGCAAGCTTCAATCTGCTCTGAAGCCACAGCTCCAGCCTTGCTCCAGGGTGCTCCATTCCGTCCATCTAGCCCAGTGCTGACAAAGTTCCTACTGTGTGTGAAGGCACTGTGCAGGCTAATGCGCCGGACAGCAAACTCGGTTTGAACGGCAAGGTCAGCAGTTCAAGCTCACCAGCTGCTCCTCGGAAACCCTACACAGGGTCGTTACGGGTCAGAACCGACTAGACAGCACTTAACAACCAGCACCACAACAGCAGTGTCCTCTCTCTCTCTGCAGGACACAAAACGGTTTGTATTTAGTTAACTGGTTCGGGTCCGTCCATTTTCTCTCACCAGCCTGACAGAGCTTACAGACACAAGGCTCTGGTCTTCCAGAAGAATGACAGACTGAGGATGAAATGAAGTCCAAACTGAAGCCGAAAGAGCACTCTCTCTCATGTAAAGAACATGGGACATTTTGTTGGCTTGTGGAGTTTTAAAAGAAAAGAAAAACAGTGGGACATGAGTGTCTTTGTGCCCACCTGTCAGCTGACGCAGCTCTGTCAACTCCCCCTCCCTGCCCCCCATGTAAAGAGGTACCACCATCTGACACAACACCAAGTCCACCTCTGCCCTCCACCCTCCAGGCCCAGACAGCGCTCCGGCAGGGGTACCGACAGTCACTGAGCTGAGCGCTCACAAAACAGAAAAGAAAGCCCAAGTAGGCACATGTTTACCTTTTCCCATTTTTATCATGTAGACCAGACCCCCAGTACTTAGGAACACCCAGGTACTTCAGCTTATGGGCACGAATCCATTTCTGAACTAGAATGAAAGCAGATGCTTTTAACTTGCAATTCTGTGAGAATTTTTTTTTAAATATAAGCAGAAACGTACTTATACATTACCAATATCTCAGCATTCACTTATTCATTTCAAGAGTGATGGGAATGGTATAAGCAATAAATGAAAAGTACTTTACAACGAAAGTATTCTCACTATCCCCCAACTGTGCTACGCTGCCCTCAGCTTGGCACTGTCTTTAAAATGAACAACCTACAAAAAGCAGGAAAGAAAACTTCAACCCAGAGAACTGCAGCTGCAATGACTATCTCTAATTATGTAAATGTCTACTTGCTTATTACCAAGGAAGGGTTATTTTTTATTCCCATCGAAAGTCCTTAACCCTGACAAATCAAGCTCTAGGTGAGGTGGGGGCCACCCTATCAGGGAAGGAGGGGAGGAGGAGGGGAGGGCTGAGGGAGAAGTGTGACTGTCCGAGGCCAAGGTTTCTAACTGGATAGTCAGCTCATCAGTGTGGCGTCCCCTTAGTCTAGAAAAATTCAGAACCACCCTCCTAGATTAGGGCTAACGCAAGTTTCTCTAAATCGTGTATCTTGTAAGATTTTTTTCTCTCTGTATCAATACAGGTGAAATCTTGCCAAAACAAACCCATTCAAAAGTCTTCATACATACCTCATTTAAATGGAATTTACTTATAAAGTAAGAAATGACAGAATCATACCAATAAAATCCAATGCTCTAGTCTAAGATTAAACACCAGAAACAGAAGCCACGTATCACGTGGAAAGCTGCGGGGACTGTTGTTCTTACTTTGCTCCGGTTTAGCAGCTCGCTGGTAGAATTTCAATTCAGTAAAAAGAGGTCCGTTGTCACTGGGCTCCTGAAAATGTACGAGTCTGTCAGTGTTAGCACTACACGTAGTTACAATTGCTACAGTATTTTTAATACACTTTCCAAAAAGACTAACAGTCCGATTTTTTCCCTAACAACAATTGTGAAACTATTACAGATTAAGTCAAACTCTTAAGTGTCTCAGAGACTCTCAGAACAGTCCCTAAATTGTACATTTCTCTCAAGCTCCACTTCTCTAAGTGAGAAATAACACAAAGTCACATTGACAGGTCAGTCTTTATGGAAGTTCCATCCAGAAAGAAATCTCAAAACTGATTTTCACCTTTATTAGACTTCCTCTTAGGCAAAGGTCAGCAATCCTGTTAAGCGTGTCACTAAAGAACCACCAGGTATTTCCAATTTAATAGGATTTCAATACCACCTGATCTGACCATTAGGGGTACGCCTCCTCCCTCCCTGCCCCTCTGGGCCGTGATGTACTTCATTTCAGAGGCCCGGCAGAGCTGACTTCTGGATCCCTCCCCCCACAGGCAGGTGCTGGCTGTAAGCACCACTCCTTCATTCCAACACTGATTCCTAACTGTTCATACCACAGCCCTCTAACAGGATAACCTGCCATCAAGGAAATCGGCTACAGGACAGCCCCTTGCCACCAACTTGGCTGGACAGCATTCATTCCATATTTTAATGGGTATTCACAGGGATAGTACATATGTATACAAGTACATGTTCACAAAAAGCTATTTGTAAAAGCAAGAAATACTAGCCTGTCAAGAGTTTTGCCTGGTGGAATAATCTGGAAGACTAGGAGAGAGGTCTTACAAGTCTGCGCACTGGTCTACTGAAAAGTGGTTCAGGGCAGGACACTTGGTGCTGGTTACTGGAAGTCAGAGAAATTTCTAAATTCACTTTTTCACTCAAGATGCCCTCAGCTGTCGTGAAGGTGACCTTTAACCCCTGGGGCTTACACAGCATCACACTACACACAGCTCTAACCGCTCAGCTCTTTCACTTTAAAGGAGTCCCGGGAGCACAGCAGGTTAAGCGCTGGGCTGCAGTTCAAACCTACCAGGCACTCCTCAGGAGCAAGATGAAGCTGTCTGCTCCCATAAAGCCTGACTGGCCCACAGCCCCAGAGAGCAGTTCCAACGGGGTCACTGTGAGTCAGGATCAACCCAACGGCAACGGGTTTTCTTTTCATTCAAAACCAAGAATCACCTCCTGACACGGGGGTATCCAAGGGAAAATGGAATTAAAAGATAACGAAGTTTTCCCACAAACTTCTGGAAGCCCCCAGTATAAGAAAGGCTAATGAGTCAATCTCACAGGTAAGCAATGCCAGCAAATGCACCTGCCTGCGCAACCTTGAACCTGAGATGATGAGGAAGCTTGCTGCTCATTTCCAGGGAGGCTGCTGCCAGCCCGGTGTACATGCACCCGTAGGCTGAGGTGTGCACGATACCGGTCCCCAGTGTGTGGGCTCTGCTCCGATCCAGCCGCACCAATAGACACAGACGCTCCTGAGGGCTGAGACCTGAGACCTGAGACTGGACTCTCAGACTCCGTGAAGCCATAAAGACACAGAAACGCAGAAGGCTTCTGGCAGAGGTGGCCTGCCAATGTCACTCTCAGGGAAACCTGAGAGTCACACACGGCCAGATGACTTAGCTTTCAGGTCCTCAAGTCTCCGGCCTGTGACAGGCTGCAACTTACACCTGTTCTGTTGCTCGATTTAGTGGAAAAGACTTGAGTGTTCCTTCTGGGACAGGTTTCCTTCCACTTAACGCAGGTTCCAGCTTTCGCCGGTTTTACTGGCTAACTCAAGTTCACATGGGTTTCCAAAGAAAGATCTAGCTTATTCCCATCGGCAGAAAGTTTGGGTGGAATCAGGTGCAGCCTGGGGCAGATTCACTAGAGGAATACCCAGTTTTCCTCTAGGCAACAGCTGATTGCATGTGGAAGCCGGACAATCACCCAGGACACTGAGCGCACACCGCACACTTCTAAGCCGGTGAGACGCCACCTTAACGAAATGAAGGGGCCACTTTCTCGCCTGGCATGCTCGCCAACACTACCGACTTCTGCTGCAGGAAATGTCGTAACTCATAACGAAGATTTATCAACATATTTCAAATCGAAAATACTCTGCCAACTCTGTAATAGCCAAGATTGAGGATAGAAATTGGGACTGACATTTTAACTAGAATACCACTGAATGTTTCCTGAAGACTTCTAAGTGTCAAAATGAAGATGACAACAGGAAAAAAGGGAAATGTGATAGATTTCAATGGCACTCTCGAAAAGCAACTGGCTGCCATTTAAAAATGAAACAACACAAAATTTCTCCTTCCGACTAAACCCTGGGGAGCCAGAAGTTGAAAATTCAGGTCGTTTTTCATAACACTAATAAGGGAAAACGAACACCAGTCTGCAAACTTCTTGCCAGGGAATTTCAAAATAGAAATTTGCATCTGTGCATCTGGGAACCAATCGCGATGCAGGATCTGTTAGGATACAAGATCCAGAAGCTGGACCTCCACGCCCACTTTTCTACTGGTGTGGCACCACAGGATGAACACTGAACTGCTGTCCTAGGTCAGTGGTTCAAACCCACCAGTAGTACCTTGGAAACCCTACAGAGAGTTGCTAAGAGTCAGAACCAACTCAGTGGTATTTCATAACAACAAGAAGCAAAAGGCACTGGGCGGGTAATGGCAGAACCCGCAGGGGAAGAAGGGTGCTTGTAAGAAAACATGAACAAGCAGCTTTGTTCCCTCGCATTATCCCACCTATAATCATCAACGCCCTACGTTCAGCGTACAGATGGCATCTCTCAGATACCCAGAGGCCGAGAACACACGTTTCCATCTACTGCTCGTCCATGACAGCCCATGGAGGTCATCTGGCAGGAGGGAGGGGACAATTTTCCAACGTGCCCAAATAGCTAACCTTCACTTCATTCCACAGACAAATGCAAGACATAGATGTGCTCACTATGTGGAGCTCTTTGGTAGAGAGAGCTATATTAACAGTAATATGTTTGTTTTTCAAACAAATCTTCCACATTAAGATGGGAACCCATGTCAGAAGCACAGGTTACGAAGGGATTCCAGGAGAAAGATGCAAAGGCACATGCACTCATGATCCCATTTCTAATCATGCAGGCATCTTCACCTGTATCACCGAGCCACCAAGAGCCTGAGTATGCGAGCCAGCAGGCAGCCACCCTCCAGATACTCGACAACGGCGGCTCCACACCACACAGCCACTGAGCTGCACTAGTGAACAGTGTGCTCTCTTAGGGACCCCCTCTATGGGGTCAGAGTGACAACAGCAACTCAGAGGGGAGCTGAAACCCTGGGGGCTGTGAGTGTACGGCAACTGAGGAGGAAGAGCTCCTAAGAAGATGAGAAATGCTGGCACCAGTGGGGGAACGGAATCAATGTTATTAACTGGACACTGAGATGGGGGTGACGTGACGTGGGATTTGCTCTGCATGTATTAGTAACACAATTCTCAACAACAAGATAAAGGAAAAATCAATTTGCCTTTGATTATTTCTTAAACGGAGTCCTGGTGTGGAGCTGCAGGTCAATGCACTGGACTTCAAAGTCCATTTGATCCACAAGGTTGGTGGTTCAAGCTCACCAGCTGCTCTTCAGAAACCCTATACAGGGTTGCAATGTGTCGGAACCAACACGATGGCCCTTAACAATAACGTTTCTTAAATGGAGTCCTGGTGTGTTGCTGTGGGTTAATGCACTGGATTGCAATGTCACTTTGAACCATAAGGTTGGCGGTTCAAGCTCACCAACCACTCCTAGAAAACCCTATAGAGTGTCGCTACAGGTTAGAACCAACATCACGGCACTTAACAGCAACTTTTCTTAAATGGAGTGCTGGTGGCGCACTGTGGGTAAATGCACTGACTGCAAGGTTGGCGGATCAAGCTCACCAGCCGCTCCTCAGAAGCCTTACACAGAGTCGCTACAGGTCAGAGCTGACTTGACAGCACTTAACTACAGCAACAATTTCTTAAAGAACATTTGTTATGCTTTTGTCTCTAAAGATAAAATATATATTCATTGTAGAAAGCATGGATATATTTTTAATATATTTTCTTCACATTTATATGTTATAATCTTATCTTCACATATTCCTGCTTTTGTTTTTACTAATTAGTCCCTGACACTGAGTGGCAAACACTCCTCAGATCTGATTTCACTACTGGAAAGCTCTGAGTTGGATTCTGCATGTTTACACGCATGAACCATGTCAGGTGTTAGTGTTAAGACACTGTGAGGACAGACAGCGTATCGCCAAGGTAGACAGACTAGAAGAGGTAGACTCGCTCCACGTTCAGGAGAGCAGACAAAAGCAAGGAGGACCAGGAAGGCGAGAGTCAATGAGCAGAGCCAGGGTGAGAGAGAGGGGCAGGAAATTAGAGCTCAGAAAGAGTCAAAAGAGGCAGAAGCAGCCCTACTGGCACTGTGGGGTTTAAACACTGGGCTGTTACCTGCCAAGGTCAGTGGTTCAAACCCACCAGCCACTCCATGGGAGAAAGATTACGCTGGCTGCTTCTGTAAAGGTTTACAGTCTCGGAAACCCTATACAGGGTTCCTGAGTCAAAATCTTCTGGATGGCGGTGGGTCCAGATAACAAATAATTTAAAATCTACTTAAGGAGACAGTGTAAATACATGAAAAACTAAAACCAAGTGGCATGAGAAAGACATTAGAGCTGTAAGAGTCTGCAGGACCCAAAATCGGGGGCAGGCAGTTACAAAGACAGGAAGTGACTGGCTTACAAGCTTTCAAGAGGGAACCTAGATCCAGAGGGCCTGGAGGAAGGTAGAATCTCCACTGAGTAGTATTCAATCTATCTAAGCGGGCCTGATGCAATGAAATGCAGACGGGTCTCTTGTGATACAATAGTGAATAATTGTTATCAGGGCTAATTGTGAGGGTTGTAAATGTAAAGGTACACGTTTTATAGCAAGGAAGGGAGTGACTAACTTTCCAGTCTAGG